CCAAAGAAGGAACACGAGGGTCGTGTTTAGCTTGATTAACGCAAGACCAAAGTCTGTGTTTTGCTAGTGAAACGCAGTCCTGTGATCTGCGTTCAGATTCTAAAACGCACTCCTGAGAGTTGCGTTTAGTTTGTGGAACGCACTCCTGAGAGTTGCGTTTTGGTTCTGGGACGCACTCATGAGAGTTGCATTCAGCCAGATCAACACAGGTTTGTTGTCTGCGTTTAAATGTTAGAACGCACTCCTGAGAGTTGCGTTTTAGTTCTGGGACGTACTCCTGAGCGTTGCGTTCAGCCAGATCAATGCAGTTTTGAGGTCTGCGTTTTGATGTTGGAACGCGCCTCTGAAGGCCGCGTTTTGGTTCTGGGATGCACTCTTGAGAGTTGCGTTCAGCCAGATCAACGTAGTTTTGAGGTCTGTGTTTTGATATTGGAACGCGCCTCTGAAGGCTACGTTCTATCTGGGAAACGTACACCTGAGGGTTGCGTTTAGCTTGGCTTATGTAGAGCTTATGTTGAGGCTCGCAAACGCGGAGTTCGCGTTGATTGGAGGATCAGCTTTTTTGGAGTTGTGCCGAAGTCGAGTCTTCTCCTTTAGAGAGGGGACTGTATGAACAGTGCAACCCACATGAGAGATAGTCTTTAGATGAGTTGGCCACAACTGGAGCTTTAGTCTCCTCGGAAACTTTGTGGATCTTGCGCATAGCCTTAGGGCTAAGGGATCCGGAGGAGAGGGCCTTCTCAAACTTGGCCTGTTCAAACTCTACCATGAGAGTTTCGACCGTTGTTCTAGCGAGGTTGACGTCGGATTACACCACCACTTCTTCATCAGAGAAGCTAGTCCCCAGCGGAGTCGCCATCTTTTGTTTGTGGAAAAATTTGGAGTAAAAGAAACGAAGGAAAAATTTAATTTGTATTTCTTTAATCTCAATTACAATTGGATTCCGATTATAAAAGAGAGGAGAACGAATTTGATTCTCCCCTTTGTTTAAGTCTGGGTTCTTCACGGTAGCGATGGAGTGCCTCCTTCGAATGCTCGCATCAAATTTGCTCTCCGTTGACGATCCGCACATCTTATTTCACTGGAACGTGGTCTTCTCCTCACGATTTGACGCTGTGGAGAACTTGCGTGGAAAGTTTGAAAATAACTCTTAATGAGTTAATAACTCAGAGCGAGTTTTAGAAGAACTTGCAGAGCAAGTTTTGAACTCTGATCGAGTTGATAACTCCGAACGAGTTTGAAACTCTATGAAAGAGTTGATTTAACCGAAATCGGTTTAAAGCCAATGATGAAGAAGCTCCTGTTGCCGATCTCCAAAATCCCAGCCGAAGGATGAAGGATCTTCTTTGGTGCCAAGCTTCAGATCCAAAAAAGTCAGCCTCCCCGATCAACCCAGCCAGCCCGAACTCCATTGAGTTTACCTATATTTATAGGGGATTTAGGGGTGTAACCGCCCCCTTAAATCTCTCCTTAATGAGGGTTTAATAGGGTGTAACTGCCCCCCATGAATCTTTCCATGATAGGGTAGTGATCCCATCAAATTGTGGGGAGAAAACGGTTCTGGAATTGTTCAAATCGTGTTTGAACGAGTCAAACGCTAAAAACAGCGTTCTGGGCCCGAACTCTGCGTTTTAGACCTAAAAACGCACAGTTTGGCCTGTTTTAGGCTGAAAACGCACAGTTGGGCCTGTTTTAGGTTGAAAACACACAGTTAGGCCTGTTTTAGGCTGAAAACGCACAGTTAGGCCTGTTTTAGGCTGAAAACGCACAGTTAGGCCGCGCAGAGATGAACTCTGCGTTTTGGACATGGGATTTAGAGTTGGTTTCTGCATGAACTGTGCGTTTTTTTTTGGACCTTGGACGCAGAGTTGAGCTCTGCAAGAACTCTGCGTTTTTATGTTATATCACACCTTGGATTTCCCCGTCACATTGATAGTTGCGACGGGGAGCTCCACACTATCGGAAGCTTGTCTCCTCTGACGATTGCGTCTTTGGTGGAGAGGTATCGTCTCCGGTGGTTGCTGAAAGAGCCTTTCAAACACTAATGGTTTAGGTGTTTCAGCACACTGGCAGTGCTCGAGCAGCGCTGCAATGAGCCTCTCGCAATAGCACTGAGGAATTGCCTCGTAGAGCATGTGTTTGCAAGTCAAGCCTCCTCTGAGATCCTATGTAGGTTGATAGTGACAACCCCCAGCGTCAGAAAGACCAAACGAGTGCTTGCAAGAAGAGGGCTTAAGAGAGCACTTGGGAGAACACTTGGGAAAATCTTCAAGTGTTGAAATCTAGCAAGCTCGCCCTAACAGGCGAGCTTGGGCCCGTTGGTGAAGTTCAGGCTGGTGAGGCTCGCCTGTTGGGCGAGTTTGGTGCAGTTTGCCTGCCTGACGAATGTTGGCTTGCAGACAAAAGTTGGTCCGTCAGGCGAGATTGGTGAAATCCGGCTGTTTGAGCTTGCATGCGAGCTTGGGCTATCACGCGAGCTTGGTGAAATTCACTTGTTTTATGAAGTCTGCCTGAATTGCAGAGTTCACCATACTTGTGAAGTTTTCCAGATTTGGGAACCTCGCCTGAAGAGCAGAGTCCGCCTGAGTAGGTGGGCTCGCCTGATTTGAGCAGTTCGCCAAAATTAGGAACCTTGCTCGTGGATCGAAGCTTGTGGGGTTCGGCTGAACTGTTAGGCTCGCCGAGAACACCAAGTTTGCCAATTTTGGGAACTTTGTTAACAAAGCAAAGCCCGCCTGAGTAGGTGGGCTCGCCTGATCAGTTCAGTTCACAAAAATTAAGAACCTTGTGTTTTGGCTTGGCTCATTTGGAGAGGGGAGCGTTCATGTTGACGGAGAAGGCGGGTTCCACGTCGACATGAACCGTCGTCTCCTCTTGCATGAGGGCCTACGAGGATCGTTCAACGACCCCACGCAGCCCTTGAACTTGCATCCTTTGCCTTCGGCTCGGCCGTGATGGGCTTGGGGGAGATAGAACCCCCTGTGTTTGCTGGGGCGGTGTTCTCCGGCGTGGTTGCGTCGACCACTTGGGGCTGGACCACAAGCGCAACTCTATAGCACGTACGAAACGTATTGCCGCCGGAAGAGGATGAAGATAAGTACTCCTCAAACTCGATCACGAGGGACTCAACAGTTGTCCCCACCGCAATTTCGTCGAACTGCGCCACCACCATTTCAGTTGAAGAAACGATTTCTCCCACTGTGGTCGCCATCTTCTGTAGGTGTAAATTTTGATTTTCCAAAACGGGGGTATTGTTTGTATCTATAAGAATAGCTTATTACAAACTAATGAATCGAAATTACAACAGAAGCGGAGAGAAGGCTCTCCTTGTTTAATGTGGGAACTTTGGTAGCGATATGACGCCTCCCTCGGTTCTCAAGCTAAGTTTGCTTCCCTTGGACGATCCGATCAAAGTTGTGGACAAGCTTTAGTACGTAGTAGAAGCTTGTGCTGATCGAGTTCGACTATACCCAAGGCCAAACGGGGGGCTTGTGCTTGTCAACTGACTGCTTGGAGAGAGCTACCATGAAAGAACTTGCAAAGAGCCTAAGAGCCTCAGGTCTAAGAGTTCAGACGAGTCTGCAAAGAGCTTGAGAGTCTCAAGTCTGAGGGTCCAGACGAGTCTCTTCAAATGAGGGAGCCTTTAGCAAATGAGCCAATGTTCAACCTTTGGAAGAATAGCCTGCCAAGCAAGCAGCAGCTAATCAACCCCTTTCACGATGGCTGAAAGTGGCTTTAAATAGGTAAGTGATGACATGGTTCATCCCTTAATTTGTGGGATTTGACCACTAGTAGGGGTGAGGGAGCCAGCCGCCCTAGTTGTGAGATGTGACCACTTAGGGGGTCATGTCAGCCGCCCTAATCTTGCTAGGTGAGGAGCATCATGCTTTCTCCCTTGATTCATGGGATTTGACCACTGATGTGATTGTTCTCATACTCCAAGTGGGTAGCTAACAATGATGGCGGGTTTCTAGTTGTTAGGCGAGCTTAGTCCGCGCAGGCGAGGTGCGGGCTGTTAGGCGAGCTTGGTCTTCAGGCAAGCTCGAACCTTCGTGCTGGCGAGTCGACCAAACAGGCGAGCTTCGAGCTGTCAGGCGAGCTTGGTTCAATGTGCATGCGAGCCTATGCAGGCGAGGTGTTCAGGCGAGGCTGTGTAGGCGAAGCTGTGTAGGCGAGCAGTGCAGGTGAATCTTTGCAGACGAAGCTGTGCAGGCGAGCTGTGCAGGCAAATCTCATTCAGGCGAGCTTCAATACTGTTAGGCAAGATCTATCATTGCAGACAGACTTCCTTGCAGGCGAGCTTTAGCCTTTACAGGCGAGCTTCAGCCTTTAGGCGAGCTACTGAACATGCTTCGAAGAATAGGCCGTAACTTTCAAACCGTAAGTCAGAATTGGACGAATTATATATAAAAATCGATTATCTTGACGAGACGGAGCTGACCAAACCGACCCCATAGGGTTCGGTTTGCTCCTATCCGTTTTGCCAAATTCTTTCCGGTTTGAGAGATATCAGCGTTTTTTTCCCGACTACAACAAATTACACTTTTCCCGACGCTTATTCCCGACGCATGGTTAAATACATCGCCAAAAGTTATGTTTTTCCCGATGATTTTAGTTAGCGTCGGCAAAACATATATTTTTCTCCACGTTTATAATTAGCGTCGCTAAAAGTGTATATTATTTGCGACGTTTTAACTTAGCGTCGGTAAAAGTGTATGAATTTCCCGACGTTTTTTTATTTTCGTCGGCAAAAGTATAGCTTTTAGCGACGCAAAAATATTCGTCGTAAAAAAGTATACATTTGACGACGCACGTTAGCGTCGGCAAAGGTTTAGCTTTTAGCGACGAACAGTTTTGCGTCACTAAAAGTAACACTTTTGCTGACGCTATATTACGTCGGCAAAAGTATAGTTTTTAGCGATGCAAAACTTTTTGTCGTAAAAAAGTATACTTTTGCCGACGCTTTATTTTCCATGTGCGTCGCCAAAAAAACCCCTTTCACCCATTCATCTTCTCCGTTCGACGTTCGTCTTCGCCGTCGATTCGTCGTCCAGCCGTTCGATTCGCCTTCGATTCGTCGTCCAGCCGTTCGATTCGCTGTCCAGCCGTTTGATCCTCGTCGATTTGCCGTTCTACGTTCATCATCTTCGCTGTCAGATCCTTGTCTGGCCTTGTCTCGTCCAGCCGTTCGTCTTCGCTGTCGATCCGCCGTTCTCCATAAGGTCGATTCAAAACCCTACTTTTTTCACTTTCATCTATTATTATTTTTCCATATATAAAAGAATCTTTGTACATCAAAAATAGTCCTTTTGTTTAGTTATTCATACCTTCGCAATTCCAAGCTTTGATTTTTGCAAATAAGTATTCCTGGTTGAAATAAAAAATTATGCTGAAACCATTTAGTTTTGAAGCATAATTTGCAAGTTGTGCAGCTTGGTTAATATAATATACTCGGCATGTTCTATCATTTAGTTTTGAAGCATAATTTGCAAGTTGTGCAGCTTGGTTAATATAATATACTCGGCATGTTCTATTGTGTTAGAAATGCTTCAGGCCTGCCACTTCCAAGGAATTGGAAACATGTTGCTTCATTTGATAACTACTTCTTTCATAATCTTTTGTCTACAAATTGTGATAGACTAATGAAATATATTCTGGAGATGACGTTTTATGGTTGAGGAGGTGTTGCTGGATTTGGATGAAGAGGGGAAAGAAATGGTTTTTGGTGTGTCATGGTTGAGGAGTTGACGAGGTGTCTACAAATTGTCATGAAGCTATGAATTTAATTTCTAAGGTTTATGGGAGCGAGTTTGTCGTCAGAGATGATGTTCTTGTTGTGTCATGGTTAGTAAGGATCATTTTCGTGATGGGCTGGGTTTGCTCTTGTAATGGTTTTTGGTGATTTAGTTAGGAAGGATGATGTTCTTGTGGTGTCATGGTTGTCTTGTGAAATGTTTGTGTCATGGATTGTGCTACTGAAGGTTTTGGATGAAGATTATATATATATGTCTAATAGTAATAGATTTGTGCTCAATTTTAGTAATTCTAATTATATATGCAGAACTATGAAAGGATACGAGATTTCTCAGTCGCGTAGTAGTGCGTATTTGTCTCCCTCTTTTTTCATTCTTACTCACTTGCAGTTGTAGTACATACACACTTCATTGGGGATTTTTTTTCTCCCTCTCTGTATACGATTGTATAGTAGTATTTTTGCAGGATGTCAGGCAAACTGAGAAAATTAAGAAAAGTCCTGATATTGATTTCATGTACACGAAGGTAAGCTATTATTCTTATTTTATTTGCCATGCAATGTTACAAATAAAGCAACACTATTGAGCCTTCTCCTTATCTTATATTATTATTATTATTTTAAAAATTGCTTTTGCCTTCGGTTCAGGCTTTGTATTATGCTCTTCCAATGGATTATATGACAGTAGCAAAACTTCAGACTAAGCTAGATGGAGAGGCTAAACAGAATACTGTTCGAAAATTGATCGACAAGATAGCTCAGGATGGATACCTGAAAAGCTCAGGCAGCAAGAGATTGGGTATTCATCCTAACTATGAAACCTGATTTTAGGAGATCATAATTTATTAACTAATCAATACCTACTTGTGGAATTATTTTATGAAGTTAATATATTTAAGCATCACACTTTCTTTAGCTACAGTAGAACGATATTGTGAGGCATAGATAGCCTTGACCTGAAAAGCTCAGGCAGCAAGAGATTGGACGTTCATCCTAACTATGAAGCCTCAATTTAGGCGATCATAATTTATTAACTAATCAATACATGCTAGCAGAATTATTTCACAAAGTTAATATATTTAAGCATCATACTTTCTTTAGCTACAAGAGAACAATATTATGAGGCATAGGTAGCTTTGACCTAACCCCTAGAGAGTTCAAAGTTAACATCCTTTATTTGCCCATTTCTTGTAAGATTACTTAAGTTTCATGCAATTTATTCTTACTGTTTCTTTGTATAACAGTTCTAGAAGTTGGTAAGAGTTAAAACAATATTTCCAATTAGTCTTGAATCTTGATTTATCAATTGTTAATGTTCTTTGCTTTAAATGAATCTTCATCACATTTTCCTAAAATTTTCCTGAAATTTTCCTGAAATTAGAGATCACTTTATATGGAAATTGGGTGATCACACGGCCACTTCAATCTACTGATTGTGGGAATATACAAATTGTTTTCAGAAAAATATATCACTAGGGATCTAAGGCACCTTAATATTTATGAGTAACATTGATTTACTGCAGGTAGGCGTGTTGTTCACTCTGAATCCACCAACATAAAGCTCATTGAAGTCAAAAAGATTATAGAGGACCAACCTATGGTGAATTCACTACCATCTTATGCTTCTTACCTCACTACATGACTGAGATTGTTTTTTAGTATGATAAAGCATTAAATATCATTTATATCCTTCATTCATCCACTTCAAGCAGGAAATAGATACCAAAGGAAATAGATATCATTTATATCCTTCATTTATATCCTACATGATCTTTGCTATGATTTTGCTTGAAAATCTTGCTTCTGTTTTAAACCGTATAGAAGACTGTTTAATCAAAGAACTGATATCTCTAACATCTCTAACAGGAAATAATCAAAGAACTGATGGAAATGTTACCACACATGAAAGAGCTTATGGATATGTATTGTGGCCCTGATAGAGTGACTGCAAAGAAACAAATGCAGGAGTTAGACAGAGTCGCAAAAACTCTACCAGAGAATATACCTTCATCTGTGAAGAGGTTCACTGATCGTGTCGTTCTTTCACTTCAAGTTTTTTTTTTTTTTCAACTTAGTTTAGTTTCCTGTAAATCTTAAAATGTGTCATTCTCTGAAATGAAAAACACTGAATATGGCAAACTGAAATATTTAAACAGGCCTTTAAGTGTTGACTTGGAAATGGAAATGAATGTAATTATTTTGCAATGGGAGCAAATTCTTTGTTTATCATAATATGCAACTTGTTTGTAGTATAATTTGATGTTTGGTTTTTTTGTTGATGTGAATGGGAGTAAATTTTTTGTGGATGTTCAGGTTCAGTGTAGGCTTGTAGTTGACAAAAAAAATATTATTTTTGACGATGTAAATTAGTGTTGATAAAATTATACTTTTTACCGTTGCCAAAAATTATACTTTTGCCGACGCTATCTTGCGTCGGCAAAAGTATAGCTTTTAGCGACGCTAGCTTTGCGTCGCAAAAGTATAGCTTTTAGCGACGTTTCATTATACGTCGTTAAAAGCTACATTTTTGCCGACGCTACTTTACGTTGACAATAGTATAGCTTTTAGCGACGCTATCTTGCGTCGCCAAAAGTATAGCTTTTAGCGACGCTTCACTCTGCGTCGCTAAAAGCTATACTTTTGGCGACGCAAGATAGCGTCGCTAAAAGCTATACTTTTACCGACGTATAGCTTTTGCCGACGCTGCATGCGTCGCCAAAAGTATACTTTTGCCGACGTATAGCTTTTGCCGACGCTGCATGCGTCGCCAAAAGTATACTTTTGCCGACGCATAGCTTTTGCCGACGCTGCATGCGTCGCCAAAAGTATACTTTTGCCGACGCAAAATATTATGCGTCGCTAAAAGATATACTTTTCCCGACACATGAAGCGTCGCCAAAAGTGTACTTTCGGCGACGCAGTTTATTTGCGTCGCCAAATACTTTCCTTGACGCACTTTTTGCCCTTTTTGCTATTTCGGGCGAGGTTTTAGCAGTTTTGTTCTGAACTTCTCTTATAGGGATTAAAGGTAATTTTTATTGCCTACAAAGGCCAATCTTAACTCCTTCGTACTTTCAAATTGTTGTCCCTCACCAGTTAAAGTTGTGTGCCACCAAGCAGGAATCCTCTCTGATCTGCTAATCATGTCATTAATCGTCATAATATTATCTCCGAAAGGATTGTCATTGGGATTCTTATCTGGAACACTTGTGGACGACAACGCCGGTGGGCCACAATCTATACTTTTTGAGGTCAAACTGCTGGAAGCGCTATAAATATTAAGAACATAAAAAAATAATCATAAACTACACAAATAGTAGTAACATCAACAAATAATACCAAAAGCTAAAAAGCAAAAACGACAACTGCTTGTAGTTAGAATCAATTAGAACTAGCAAGAACTAACAAGAAAACCATTAGAGCTAACATTGCATTGATTAGAACTGACGTAATAGCTATTAGAACTAACAATATAACCATTAGGACTAACAAGACATAGATTAGAACTAACAAACTTTGCAGCGCTTGCAGCATATGGAACTAGAGATAGAACTAGCAATAAATCTAGTAGAACTAACAAAATAGCGATTAGAACTAACAAAGAAACCATTAGAACTAACGTATGGAGCATAACAAAGAACTGCTTAACGATAAATCGATTAGAACTAACAGAACCAAGATTACAACTAACATACTATAGAATTAGAACTGAAGTCCAGTTAAACCTAGCATAGACCTAACAAGAAGACGATTAGAACTAAAGTTAATTGATTATACAGTTAACCTACATGTCTTGTCGGACTTGCTCATTTTCTTGTTTATTCGAAGAATCATCTGCTTCTTTAAAAGCTTGCATGTGAACATCTTTCAGTCCAAGATTGTGGCAATGCTCCACCATAGACGTTAGATCCCCCTCGTTCTCAATGGGAAATTTTAAGCTTCCAACTATTTCATCTTCGTATGCCAAAATTAATGACTCATATGGAAGATCTAACCTCTCTGCCACATCAAACTTGAGATCCAAGATGGTGGTTGAAGAATTAATCTTCAAGAATACCGCTTTATGTGGTTGAAGAATTAATCTTCAAGAATACCGCTTTATACCGCGAAGAGACAATACAGATGATGTCCTTTTAGCCATTTTGAAGGGAATGTAAGAGTAATAGAGAAAATTTTGGTCTGAGGAGGAGTAATAGCGAACTAAATAGTTATTGTTCATGATAGAGTAAAAAAAGGGGAAATTTTCCTCTATTTTTTCTCATCATATCGCATTAATAAGAAGTGACTACTATTGTTCGGGACTAGGCCTCGTCTGGGGAAGAAAGAGAAGGGCAATTTCGGCTTTTTTCCAAAATGCATTCTGCTTTTAGTATAATGCTGACGTGGAGGGGGCTTAAAACATTAAACCTCACTTTTGGGGCTATTCCACATGGGGCAAAGTACAAGGGGGCTAGTCACACGAAGTTCCCACTTTTGGGGCTTGTACATATTTTTCTCGGAAATGTTTACAAGCATGATAATGAATATGTTATAAAAAGATTTTTTCAATGAAAACTTATCATTTTGCAAAATCACATAAATATAAACATGTAAAAACTTGATTTTGACAACATGGGTTCAAACATGTTTTGAAACGATTTCCAATGAATTTATTGACTTGATAAATTATAAAACATTGTCATTAAGTCTATAATCAAGAAATACAATATATTTCCAATTATGACAAGATATGAAACATATGAGTATGTATATGAATATGTTTATTTATTTTATATCTATATATCTAAACCAAAAACAACTTATCCACATAAATAGATGTTTATAAATGTATCTATAGTTTGTAAAAACTTATGGTTGTGGATAAATCAAAAAATGGATAAACCAAGAAATCATGTGTGTATGGTTTGAGCTCTAAGCATTAACACACAAAGTATAAAGCTATACTACAAACACTATAAGAAATATACCCAAGCTGACCTCCAATGGATATGATTGTGTAGGCTCAATTCGACCAACCTCCGACGTTGATGTTTTTCTAGAATATCTAATGAGCAAACACAAATACTAGACAAACGATGTTAGGGATTGTTTGTAAATCATCATCAAAATAAAGGTACTAACAATCTCTCCCTTTTTGATGATGACAAACAATCTACACAAAGAGTATATATAAAATATTTAATAAAGCAAAATACTCATAAATACTCACAAACCACTTGTTTCTCCCCCTTTGTTAACATCAAAATGGGGAAAACAATAAGAGAACGAAAACTCCCCCTACAAATAAGCCCGGTGAATATAGAACTTACAGGGAATACTCCCCCTTATCAAAATATCATACAGAATATATGCAATTATGAGTTAGGAAAATATATGTGAGCAAGCATAAATAAAAACATCTTTATCCCAACTCACATTCAAAATGATAAAAGAAACACATATGGATATATCATTATGAAAACAGTGTCTCAATAAAAGTAATATATATAGATTTATGAAATCTAAAGAGTGGAAAAAAAAATGAGAATCGTGAAAAAAATATTTTCAATTGAAAACAAATCATGAGAATCATGAAATTTCAAATAAAAATCAAATCAATCAAATAAAATCATAAATCAAAATCTAAACCATAATCACATAAAAACATGATTAATTTACAAATCATCATTTTTGAAGGATTAAGCAAATAGCAATGTTAAAACATTTAAATGTTTTATCCATAGAGGTCAAAAAGAGTATGCTTAGGATAAAACAATCCAAAATTAATTTACAAGAATGCAAGAGAAGCAACCATATCAAGCTCTTTGAGCTTGTTTCAATCTATATAAACATTTGGTACCCAGTAAACATGATTTAGAAATAAATACCTAATAAATCTAGGGGGTTGCTTAAACATAAACCTCTCATAAAAAACAAAGCCAATAAACATTTGTAGTGTATAATGAAAAAACATAATATTAACTTTAAAAGATTGCTTTTAATTTCAAAATTTTTGAAAACAAGTTTTTCAAAAACAAGAAAAGAAAAATAAAAACACTAAAAGCTTTTATTTTAAAATCAAAAATGTTTTAGCACCCAAAGACTATTAGTTTCGGAAGGTTTAGGGACATGACCCCTATCATTTAAGCTCAATACCCTAAGGTTATGATCTCTTTTGGGCGCATTTTGTGCACGAACACGGTCAAAGTAAAAATTATGCAAATGACCTTTCCGATTGTAATAAGTACAATGAAAGAGGCCTATTTGATTTTTTTTGACTAATAACTTGTGCATGGGAAACATTTTCAAATAAATATGGTCTTTTAAATTCATTTTGCAAATATGAAACTCTTTTCAAATCAAAACAATATTTGGTCAAATGACCAAATCTATCATAATAATCACACCTATACACATAAACATGCTTATAATGAACAATAGGTGCATGAGCATGTTTGTGTGATGATGAAGAAACTTTATGAGATACACAAGAAGCATTAATATTTTTATGTTTGTGTGCATCATAGCAAAATTAAGCTAAATGGTATTTTTAGCCGTAAATAGAACATTTGTAAACTTTGCTATATATGTGTGCATGGTGTATGGGATGTTTAGAAGTAGTAGCATGAGACTTAGCACATATACTCACAAGCTTCTTATGTTTATTAATGCATGAATTAAGGGTTGAATCTAGAGAAGATATATAGTTTTTCACTCAACTCATCATTAGGCATATTAGCATTGACATTAGAAGTAGAGCAAACATACTTATTATAAATGGATTTAATTCATTTCTAGTGATTTTTACTGTTAGATCCTAGAGGAGCGGGGTGATTATGGTCTTATGCTAATCTAATCTAATTTTATGCCAATTAAAACTAATTCAACAAACTATTGTAGGGTCGAAAAATTAATGTTGGATTGATTCTCTTGTTTTAAGAAAACTGGGTTCGATCACTTGGTACGAAACCCTTATTCTCTTGTTTTAAGAAAACTGGGTTCGATCACTTGGTACGAAACCCTTACAATCACTCACTCTCTCTCGATTACAGATGAAGAGAAGATTAATTCAGCTCACTTGGTACGAAACCCTTACAATCACTCACTCTCTCTCGATTACAGATGAAGAGAAGATTAATTCAGCCTCTCTTTGTTTAACGTGGGTTCTTGGTAGCGAAAGGATGCTTCCCTCGATTCTTGAGTCGAGATTGCCTCCCGTTGACGATCAGACCAAAATCGCTAGAGCTTCTCAC